ACACACTCTCCCGACGATGCACTAGCCGCGATACACGAAGAGACTCTTCAATGCGCTCGAGGACATACTCGGCACTAACTGGCCGGCTGTCAACTCGATCGTCTCCGCACGGATTAATCAGATGAGATAACTATCTCGCACTCTCGAGGCACACCCACTCACTGACTTGGTATGAATTGGTATGAATTGAGGTATCTATGAGTATTTAATCCTGAGGACTTTTACTCAGAAATTATTTACCCTGCGGGATACGTCTTAGTGAGAAGAAAATCCACTTTATTTAAAGTGGAAAGTTTCTGGTGAAAACATCGTCGCATGGGTGTCGCCATCTATTGGAACATCAGGAAGTAATAAGAAGTAAATTTTGAACTTAGTTTTCCTCTTCTGCGAAATCAAGAGCTATCTTCACCGCTAAGAAAGCGATAGAAAGTTTTTCTGTATTGGATTTGGCGGATTTAATATTAACTGCAACATTGTTCATATCTTGAATGAATTTGAAAACTTTAGGATTTGAAAAAACTTGGGATATTGGATTATCATTATCTGCTAGGATCTTCTGCTGTTTAAGGACGGCGCTGAATGGGATGTTTCTTTGAATTTCTTTAATTTCAGTTTCAGATTTAGTTGCGAGTGCTGGGAAATCTTTAAGATTTGGAATCTCTTGGGTTTTCTCTGCTGGTTTAGGAGTTTGAAATCGCTTTTTATAAATCGGGCAACCACGGTAGGACGATACATGCTCCCCACGGCAAAAATAGCAGATGGGTTTTTCTTCACGTTTTAAAGAGCAGGTATTAGATCTGTGATTCTGGGAACATTTACAACATATTTCTTTTTTATAGCAATTCGCCTTGTGAATGTCCATAGCTCTGACACTTGAAGCATTGAATTGGTCTTTTAGTTTTAGGTGCATATTTCTCATATAGTGATATTGAAGTTAAACATATTATTTAAGTTGTAAATCGCTTTCTCCTAATTTATTCCTTTCAAGTTCAATGAAGTAGATGGGTAATTTTATGAAATCACTTTCTATTCTCTTTGTGAACTGTTTTAACTTTTAGTACTGGGAATTTTCTAAGTTTTAGGTCTTCAAATATTGCAGTTTCAGAGATGCTTCTTGGGCATATTTTTTAGAATAACTTTAATGTTATTTTTGGAATAAAGTTGATACGTATGGAATTCTATGCATGATTTCTTTAGAAATTCGATGGTGCTGTTGTAATCCTCTTCGGTGGAAGTATTTAAATAAACTTTTTTGGCTTTCATCTGGGTTTCATATTCGTTTTTTAGGATTTTAGTACTTAAGATTTTCTGTAGATCAATCCAATCTAATTCAACTTGCGTGATGACAATTGGTGGGATTTTTATTTCAGATTTATAATTAGTTTTAACTTCAGTAATTTCATTATTTTCTTTATCATTTAAGGGCTCGAATCTGTTGTTTTGTTCTATTTCTTCTTTTTCGCTAGGTTTTAGATTAGGTTTGCATGTTTTTGAGGGGACTGACCAGTTTTGTTCTGAATTATTATCTGCTTCTGGAGCTGTTAATTTGTTATAAACTTCTTTGATAGAGTTCACTAAATCTTCGTGTTCTTTCACATTTTCTGCGTAATCTTTCTCGTCCATCGATCCGGTGTCCATTAAGTTCGATTGTTCAATCATACGCTCTTGGGATTTATTTAAGATTTCAGTTAGGGCTCCGTTTCTGAGTATTTGATATCTGGGATCTTTATCTAATTCAGTTCCGAGTCCTTGAAATAAGTTAGGGAAAATATGTTTATACTTTCCATGGTGTCGCGAAAATCTTGGGTTTTTGGAGTCGCAGTGCTGGAGGAGCTACTACTTTTCTTTATTTCTTTAGGCTGCTGCAATTTAGTTTCTAAACTGGAGGGTTTTAGAAAGTCTTTAAGTTTTAATTTTCCGCTATTCTTAGATGAGTTCGAATAATCTGAGTCGTGATCCATGTCGCTGTCGCTTTCATGCCTATTCCAAAAACGATCTGGTGGTTTTTTGGCCGCCATGAGGAGAGAAAGTAAAAAATACTTACAGAGCAAATCAGGATACGTGCGTCGCGCAGCGACGCTAACCTCTGAATGTGTGTGAATGACTGCGGACTGACTGACTGCGGACCAGCAGGATTTATATAGCTTTCGGCTTGTGTTCGAGAACATTCTGGGCTAAACCGGTAAGAATTCGTTCCAGAAGATTTTCTATCCGTCCATGGCATAACGCCAATTTTGTTGCCAAATGGGCGATTTCTCACCAAATGTGGCAACCCTGCCTTCACTTGCCATTTTATGGCAACCCTAAACTTGCTTTGCGGGGAAGCTACCTTACCAGGCTGTAGGTACCGTTGTGTTATCACAATGTGCGAAACATACATACATTCATGCAGATTCTTCATTATTTAATTTCTTTAAATATAATATAGGGAAATAATATTTGGTTTACAGTGGGCAACAGTTTGAAAATTGAAACAACGCTTATCGCGAATCGACGCAAAATGCCAAAACGAAATTAATAGTTCTTCTAGGCAAATTGCTCCTTTGGACTTAAAAAAATCTGAAAGGTTTCAGATTTTAAATTACTTTTAAAGGGGCGACTTTTTATCACTTTGTCTGTTACCTTTATCATGTTCTTCGCACTTAAACCATAAAATTCAATTCAAGAGCAATTTCGCAAAATAATTTTAAAATATGCATATTTTTAGAATTTCCGATGCACATTCTCGCGCACTGGAGATAAAAAATGTTTTTCTCTGTAAAACGTTGCAATTGTTCTCTTTGAAATCTTTGAGTTTGCTAATCAAAAATTCGTTAAAGTTTTAGCAAAATATAAAATCGTTAGTAAAAATATTCCAAATTTGCACTTCCAGATGCCCATACTCGCAGGAGGATTACGTTATTCAAAATTTGACGGCTTTAATGTACCTATGTTTTATTACTATGCGAGAAACATACATGCAGATTCATTATTTAATTTCTTTAAATATAATACAGGGCGATAATACTTGTATTTGGTGACAACAATTTCAAAAGTGAAACAACGCATGTAGTGAATCAACGCGAAATACCTAAAGGAAATTAATGGTCCTTCCTGGGAAAATTGCCCTTTGGACTCATTAAAAAAAATGTTTAAAAACGGAAAATTTCAGATTTTAAATTACGTTCAAAGAGGCGTTTTTTAATATTTTGCGTGTTACCTTTATTTATTAAATATCACATTCTTCGCAATTAAACTGTAAAATTCAGCTCTACGACAATATCGCAAAATAATTTTAAAATGAACATATCTTTATAAAGTATTTATCCCGTTTTCTTGGCATGCCTTCGTAATGCAGTGGTCAGCACACTCGGCGCGTATTTCAGAGGTCCGTGAGTCGAGTCTCGGCGAAGTCATTGCTCATTTTCACCTCTCCTGCTTCGAAACAACATAATGTCTCTACAATGGCGCCCGAACTAAAAAGGATGATGAATGATGATTCTCCACAACCAGGATTTGGCAATTGGGTCCCCTAATCTCCAGTCGCCCTATAAAAGGGGGAGTATATAAGGTATTTCACCCGCCTTCTTAGCATAACTTCGGAGGGTAGTGGTCAGGACGATCGACGCGTATTCGAGAGGTCCGTGGTTCGATTTCCGCCGAGGGTTTTGCTTATTTTTTAACATCTCTTGCTTCGAAATAATCTAATGTTTCTGCATATTTAGAATTTCTGTTACATAGTTTCGCGCGCTGGAGATAAAAAAAAAATTTTTTTTTCGTAAAGTGTTGTCATTGCTCGCTTTGAAATCGTTTAGTTTGTTAACCAAAAATTCGGTGAAATGTTACAAAATATGAAACCGATGTAAAACAAATTTCAAATTCAATTTAGGGCTTCCACATGCCCATATTCTATAGAAGATTAGGTTATTCAAATTTTGATGACTCTAGGTACAGTTGCTCTATCACAATGCAAAAAACATACATACATTCATGCAGATTCTTCATTATTTAATTTCTTTAAATATAATACAGGGCGATAATATTCTAAGCCAATAAGACGAGGTATGGTATTTTATTTTATTATTTAACTATTCATCATAAATTTAAAAATGAATTAAATTTTTATTTGTCTTTACATTTTCATTGAATCTTAATTTTTATATTACATTTGCTAATTATTATGTTACTTTAATTATTCATTATTTTAATCACTAATTTTTCATTGTTTTAATTAATAATTATGTTATTATTGTAATATTTATTTTATTTCTGTTTTTATTTTATTTTTTCCTACTTTCCTAACTGCCTTCCGTAGAGCTCCGGGCTTCTGATTTTAGAAATTAAGCCCTGACAGCAATAGAAAATTAAATATTTAATCACATCAGTGTACCACAAAATAATAGCCAAAACAAAGTGCATTATTTCTACCCCCCCAAAAAAAAAAAAATGCGACGCAAAAATCCCTATGGCAGCACTGCGGGGTTCAGCCGCTCACGTGATTCAGTGCAATGCGACTCTATATACTAAACTCGATTCTACTGAAAGTAACGAGTACTGGTTTATTGAGTAACGAATACACAATTTCTCGTTACTTTTACAGCACTACATTCTGAGCAAAATGTTGGGATCGGCTAAGGCTACATTCTAGCTTAATCTCACTCAAAGTGTATAGAATATTTAAAACTATTCCTTCTACCAAAGAACGTCTATACATATTCTTTGCTTCTACTATTTCTCATTTTACTATTCATTCGTTCATAGCCTATCGCGTGTTATGAAAATATGAATTTAGTTCACATGAAGGTAGCTTCCATTTTGAAATAAAACTGAAATAGACTTTGTTCGTTTAAATAAATTTTTCTTTATTCATTCATCAAAAAAGTCTTTATTTCATTTATTCTATTCTTCTTCTTCTTCTTTTTTTTTTTTTTTTTTTCATTGGCTGATCAGTCTAACCAAAATAAAAGTTTCTCTCTTCTCTGCACGTTTTTCCCGATGGGCAAAAAGACTTGAGCATGAGGCACAATTGATAGATTTTTCACTTTCAGTTGTGTATATTATATTAGGGGAAGAACCAGTTACCATCACATTATAAGTTTTAAAACAGTGAGTAGAAAAAAAATATTAATACAAAATAGAAATTAAGTAAAAATTACAGTCAACATAAATTAGAAAAGCTTAAGGAGAAGAAAGAAGGAGTAACCGTGAAAGGAATTGGGAAGGAGTGGTGAATATCAAATTGCAAGTGGTAGCGAAAACTTTAACTTTTTAAAACCATATATAGTTAATATAAGGTAGTTATTCTTTTCTTATTACTGTGCATGAGTTATTTAATGAAAAAAAATTTTATAGGGATCGAAAAATCGAGATTTTTTGCGTAACTAGTAGACTGTGTTGTACAGTATGACAACTTTTGGATGGAAAAGAAAAGCTGGAGAAAATTTTTCGAAAGATGTTTTTTCGAAATTCGCCGCTGATGAGGAAGATGATTACCAAAAGGATTTAAGTTGGGTTCTCAGTTTCAAACGGAAAAAGTCTACCCTCCAGGAAAACTGTCGAATCAAAAGTGAAGAATATAAAGCAGAAGGTGTTAGGTTAGCAGAATTGCAGAAGTAAGTTCATATATCCATCTGCTGTAACTAACTACATTTTTTTTAAAGAGTGCGGGGTTTTCTTCCGCAAAGGATCCGTTGGCGCCTGTGCGTATTTATTCGCCAAGCTCACCAACGGCTAATCGGCCATGATTTTAGCGGTGTACAGTTAGTTACGTTGCAAGATATTTAACATATGAAAGCGTTGATTTAAGCGGTACAGTCAAGTTATAAGATATATAGCATATAGAAGTAAAATAAATAGGTTAACCATAACATTTAGCGGTGTATAGTTAACCCGGGAGGACGCGCGCTGTATTATTATGTAACACGAGATCATCTCAATTTAACGACGTACAAATGTAATAATGTAAAATAATGCATTCTATATTAATTATAACATTTATTATATAAAATTGCTTAAAAATAAGGTTACTTTTAAAATTAATGACAAATAAATCAAAAGTACTTACGTTTTCTTCATATGACTAGGAATCATTGATTTCTATGAGAAATTTGTGTTTTTTATTTTTGAATGCAATTATAATCCAAATTATGCAGAATTATTACATGGACAATGAGTTATATAATTAATTTTCAAATCAATTAGGCTCAGAAGAATTAGATATTTTGTAGTTTGAATGAAGCTTCTATTTCACAGTGTTCTTGACATATATATTTTTTTTACACTTCACACATATAGTTTTTGATTTTCTGTCTTTTTCTCTTGAGCACATGTAACATCTCCGGTAACATAATTTTCTTTTCTTTGTTTGCGAATCTTCAAGAGAATCTTCGTTGTATTCCTTCTGTTTCTGTCGTGATTTTAAATGAGGATCTAAAAGTGCAAAGGCCAAATCAGAAGTGCCTCCTATTCCTGAACTTCTCTGGTGGAGTTTTAGTAGATAAAAGCAAGATCTTTGAATTTATGCTGGCAATATTTAATAACAAAAAAAATATGCCCATAGGCCATCGGTTTGATACTCTGGCCACAGAGTAAGTGCCACCCATTTCGTCGACTATATCAACTGCTCCTTTTTTCATGGGGTCCACCAGCAGCTGAGCGGTAAAGTCGCTGAACACTGATAGTTCGGTCCGAGGTTCAAATCCCGCAAACAGGCTGGCTGCATGGGCGTTTTCGTGGTTTTTCCCATGTGTAACGTGTATACAAGCCAGTTTCCCTTAGAAAGTCCTCCACGAAGGCATCCCTCCCTTTAGGCAGATAGCCCTAGTGTACTTTATAATCTCAATAAACCAAACCTTTTGTCATGTTATAAAACATAATTATTTCAGATTTTTTCAAATCTCCCGTGCTTTCAATCAATATGGTCATCATTGTGCATAGTTGACAAAGGTTGACACATTTGTTCTTTTTAGCCATATAAGAAAGTAGCATTATGTCCTTTTGAAACCCAAAGAGGGTTGAATGCTGTTCTCTGTTCTTATTCGACACAGATTCAGGTGGGATAATCTTCTCATCCCTGCATATTGTTCCAAGGATAGAAATTTTATTTTCCTGTAAGAAATTGGCCAATTTATAAACTGGTATACCAACTGTGGTAACATTTCTGGTAAAATCCTAGTATACGGTGCAGCCTTGGCGCGATTTTGAAAATTATCGCAACACCAAAAATTATCCAAAGAACGTCTCTATACTACACTATGTGTTGTAAATACATGGTAAAAGTTACAATTGGGTGCCCTTGTTTATTGGAGATTCTTTTTTGACGGCAAGATCGGCGTCAGGAAGACACAATTTCAAGATGGCCGCTACACAAAACCAAATAAAAGTCAAAGAATTGCATAAACTGTGTGTCCATGTACACATCGATTGTTTCACTTAAAAAACATCCAGAATTGCACAAACTAGGCATTGTGCACTGTTTAAATTGTCATGTACACATCAATCTATTTTTATTTTAAAAAAATCAGGAGGCTAAAGCAAAGTTACTCTATCATGGTAACCAGAAATAAGATTTCATGGCCAAAATTTTACAAAAATTTGCTCGAAGGGGCACCCAATTTACACTGGCCAAATACATAATATACATATCTATATATATTCTTTATGACCCGTTAAATCTTTTGTGTTTTTTACTGCTCATCATAGTCGCCAAAAGCAGCCAAATCCCGTGTGCACCGGATACTAGGATTAAACGACATTTCTTCCTGAATTGTATAATGGAGTTAGGATGCACTTTGCTTTTTCACAAGAACTGTTGACTTTCTTGTAGGGCCCATCTGGCTACTGACCTGAGTAATTTCCATGTTGAAAGTATAGAAGGTTCTAAAATCAACCACAGTAAATATCTTTATACCATATCTTACAAGTTTCTTAGGCATATACTTAAGAAAGGAGCATCGTCCGTGAAAAGGTTTTAGCTTTTCGTCCAAAGTCGTATTTCCCTTACATGATATAATTTCTGACAATTCTTGACAAAATTTTCAAACAAAATCTCTTATTGGAGCTAATTTATCACTCTTTCTTCTGCCATCTCCGTGTTCCGACATCATCAAATCATAAGGCACGAATGAAAAGAAAACGCTTATAGTTCATTGTTTTACAAAAAATATTCAATCCTATGTTTCCATCAGTCACCCATAATTTCTCTAACATTTACATGGGAGGATAGATAATGGGAATGGGATTTACATAAGTCCTAAAAAAGCAAGAAACACTTCTTTCTCCATAGGTTTTGCATCTCTTTAAAATTTCCTGAAATATTTTTTACATAAATATTAGAGCATTTCACAATTATTTCAATCATTGTGTCATCAAATATTAGCTTCCATGCATTGATGGGTGAAGCCACATCTTTAGATATATGTGTATTGCCAGGCAATTTTTTTAAGATATTATGGGACACCATGCATCTTTGAATTCGAAAGGGTTCTTTCTTCCATTTTGTTGTTTTATCTTTTCCTCTAAAATAGTCACTTTGATCACAAGGAATGTCTTCTGAAGAGTCGCACTGTTTTTCAAATTCAGACTGATGATCACTAAATATATATATCTTCATCATCTAAATCTTGTAAGAAAGACAGTTTCTGAAAAGATGTTTGGAAACTTATAAGAAATGATGTTCCGCAAATTAACCTTAAAATGGACATAATTCAATGCTGTATACATTAGTGCAATTTAGAATATCCTAATGAAATTAAACATGACAACATCATTTTCTTCTGAATGATGCACCAATACTGAAAAAGGTAGATGAAACACTTCTCAAAATGTTGTATCTGAAATGAGTCGTAAATGCTTTGCGTGAAAAGTTCATGAATTGTTGCCAGATGTTGACAAACCTATTTGTATTCTAAGAAAGATCTTTTTAAATTTCTTTTATAGTGAGAGTTTTTTCAGAGACTGCAGCTGATATATTAATTTTGACAAAGTGGGTAACATGGTCAAGTGAGATTGTTATTATGCCAAGCAGTAATAACTTTAGGGGGCATGACAGTATGATTGCCCAAGATACTGAATACTGAAGATTCAAACTTGGGTCAAACTACCAGTATTCAGAATTGTATTGCTCAGCTGCTTATGAACTTGAACAAAAGTATGAATATCTTGTTAGTGAAACCCATGACGTAAGGAAATCGGGAAAATTTATAAAGTTTTCAAGATTAAAACATGGTCGATTTTGTTATGAATCCCGTGATTCTGACATTTTTTAAATACACTCCTGCTACACTGATAGAGGCGGAATGATCATTGTCCTGCTTACAACAGATATATCATGTCAATGTAGAATCTGAAGGAAAGTTTAGGTTATTCGAATATGGCTATGGACCTGAAGAAAGATCCCGTTTTGAACAACTTTCTAAGGGAAACTGGCTTGTATTTGCATTACATATGAGGTAAACTAGAAAAATCAACGATGCAGCCTGCCCTTTAACCATGATATGAAACCAAATCAAACTATCAGTTATAGGAAAAATCTGAAGAAAATGCTTGCAATATCATGTAATCAGAAATTAACTACGTGTTGCATAGCAGGATTACTTTTGCATGTGTCGAGGTAGAGAATACTACTTTTTTTGTTTGTTTGTTTGTTTGTTTCTTTTCTTTATATAGGTATTTAGCCATGGTATTCATTACATATATTCTCTGTCATTCATACAGAATATTAATATTTTTAGTAAAAAGTGTCTTTTTCAATACGTGCTTTGCTTGTCGATATTCTCAAAATTATGTTTAATAATTAGTGCTACTGTACATTTAATAGATTAATGGATTCATTACCAATACATTTAAAACATTCATTTTACACAAGCAATTTTTCAGAGTTGTTTTTTGAATTTACTTACTGAAAGCTTAAAATATTTTATTTTGAAACAACTGTCTTTTTCATAATAAATTTGGCAATGCCAAGTATCTTCAATAATATTCAAATCCTTTAAAGTAGCATTGTAAATAAAACTAGAATAAACATTATACATCTTGTTATCTTTCAAGATTCATTCAAACTTTGATTAATTACTCAAAACAGTGGTTTGCTAACTTTGATGACCCTGGGTATACATAAAAGTATTTTGTCATCTCAAAGAACCAATAATTATTTTTTTTTTCATTCTAATCATCTATTGTATATAAACACCTAGCATCCTCTGAAAAGTAATTTTTAAAAATGCATTAAAAATATATCAAATTTTTAAGCATGAAAACTGATTTAATTCTTATTACTTTAGGTAAGAATAACAGTAATAAAAATAAAAACTTAATTTAAACTTAACCCACGTTAATCATAATATTTTAGTAGCCCTGTAGTTCTGCGTGTTTAAAGTCTTTTAAAAATTACGTAAGAACACAGCCATACTATTCTAAAAAGCCGTATTATATTCACCCTCTCCCAAACACCTCCGGCGATTTTCACCACCTAACCCGGTACTGACGCACCGTCAGCCAGCGGCAAAACGAAGCCCCGAACACACGGCAAATATTCTCTTTCTAAAAGCGAATCAGGTTGCCAATTCGCCGGGTTACCAGCTTTGAATGTTTATCGCCATTTTTGGTGATGTTT